CCATTGTATAGATGCATACAGGTTGTTTACTGACAGATGGAGAAATTAAGCAGGGAAAACAACATCTCTAAAGGAATATTTAATCTTCTAATTTACTGAATGAACTCTAAAAGCCTATATATTTGCCAAGATCTCCAATTAAAATCATCTGTAAGCTGAATTCAAACATCAAGGAAAAGTAATATCTTAGGAAATCAATTTGAAAAAAGCACAACTGAAATCAATCCTTCAGTCACAAGCAAAATAATGATACTCAATATTATAATTTTAAAATAAATCACAGTTTGGAAAAGCCTCAAATCGTAATACAACAATAAGCATACATTGAAAGTCTAACTCACACTTTCTTTTGTAAGTAATTCTGATTATCAACTTAGTGAAAGTTAAAAAAGGATGTGCCAACTAGTCTTTTCATAAAAACCCTTTCTAGTTGTTAGTTGTACCACTACCATTACGGACTCCAAACGTGCTGTAATACTTTGACCAGGAGATGGCGCCTACTGCTCAGCACTCCTGCACAAGTGTTGCAGATGGGAGTGAATGTAAACGTTGAAGTAGTGCCATCGTGTAGTATTTTCAAATAGTAACGTTTAATAACATGTGGTCACAGTTCCCCTGACATTGTAAACCCACAAACATCGACGTCCAATGCTGTTAGATTTAGGTGAAAATGATCGAGCGCTTCAGGCAGGGACCGAAGACATATACGTCATACACGCGCTGCATCATGGTGGGCGAAGTCTAATTCTGTTACATTCGCACATGCCATTGGCACACTAGCCTATCAAATGACCTCTGCATTGTGACCGCAATATTTTAGTGTCTTAAGCGTCTGCAGGCAGAGATTATTACTTTGGACAACAGTTATTGTTTATGCAAATCTGTTCTCGCTTCCTATAACCCTCATTAAGTCACACTTAATGCAAAAGGTTTGCAGTCTGCATATGCATATAGAAAACCATCTAGGCAGGTGCGAGAGTATTTAATGTGTAGCTTTTAATTGCCAGTTCCTCCCGCAGCCTCGTTAGAGCTTATATCTTTTTAATATAGATAGATAGATAGATAGATAGATAGATAGATAGATGTGTATTTATTAGTTTGCCTCGTCCTTTCTCCAAATAAACCAAATAAACTAAACTAAGTTTGGGGTTAAATCTCACAAAATCAAAATGTATTATTTCATTGGCTTTTTTTTTTTCATCAATTTTTTTCTGGGCATATTTTTTATTTTTTTTGCTGAAATTGTTCAAAATGGTAGAAACTTCAACACAGTTTTTATTTTAAAATAATGTTTCACTGAATGCAAACTCCATCACTTATTCATTTCTATTGAGGCTACCAGTAGGCCAATTAAGATCATTTACAGTAATCATGACAGGTTGAAACAGATTTACTTAATTCTAAATCTACTGTCTGTCCTTGTTTCATTAACTCCTTTGCACTTTCGCATGCTCACTGTGTTTTTACAGTGTAATGTGCAGTGCTGTTATTGCCACAGGCCATAATTGCTCTGCACATTAATCTCTCCATCTTCATCGTGTCTTCTTCCAAGTCTCTCAATCTGCCTTCCTCAGCAGGATGATGGTTGTGCTGAGTCACTGCAGCTGGCAACATCACCAGCCAACACACCCACTAAGACAAACACATGCACACTTCAGTTCCAGTGTACCCTGATTTGGCATATGCTTAATTTGTTTTATAACGCGTTTAAAGACACCATTCACATTATTAGACCATTTAAGTTATTTATATTTTACTATTTTACCTTCCTCTCTTAGTTAATTCAATACACATTGCATAAATGAAGGTAGACTTGTGCACTGCACAATATGGTCTATGTTTATGTTGTGTTTAAACTGTTTTACATTTACATCTTCTCTGGACTGCACAGCTTTTAAAGAGAGTGAGCACTGCTCTGCTTGCATGGCTCTGTTCACTCTGCCATAATATATATCCATATTCATTAGCCAGAGATTCACTGTTCTGCAGACCAAACACTGCAGGCTCCTTTTCTGCATACTGAGCCAGTTTGCTTGTTTGTTAATTTGTTTGTATAACTCAAACGAGCCAAAATTCAGAAAGACCAGAGCACATTTTGTGAATGCTCATGGGAATATGTAATTGTAGGCATTTTAAATGTGTGGGTGTTAATGGTTTTTATTAAAGTGTTGTTCTTCCATGGATCCGCTGTTCTTAACAGTGAAATGTCAGTGAGGAGTCTGAGACATTGTTTTTGTTGTTGCATCATCCAATCAGCAGCCATACTCATCTGCTGTGTGTGACATATGACAGGACACACACACCCACACACACCTTGATCTCATCCTGGGCACCCCACTGTTTCAACCATCCTGTGTTAGCCAAGTATATAAGGCTGTTGCCATAGCGACTGTTCCCAAAATAGCTGTAACCATAGAGACCATTTTTGTCTGTCCCCTGGAGAGAATGGGATGTAGCATTTTCGCAAGCAGTTTTTTTTTTTTTTTAATACTTGAACTCTTGAACCTTTCTCACTGCCAGATGAAAGCTGAAACTGGAGAGAGGGAGACTTTATTAACTTTATATATTTCAAGAGCAGCATCTCTACAGAGATACAAGAATTCACAAACATGTCTATGTAACTCTCAACCTTGACTAAATCTGAAATTTTGTTTATTCTAAACAAATTAAATAACAAAATTGGAAATCTGTTGCAGTTGCTAAAGCTCTAAATGACAGTTTAGGAAACTATTGAGCTGGGGGCCTGAGTAGCTGACTGAATACAATTATTGATTATCAATGCTGCATTCTATCTAGGCCAGCATGACTGATGTGTCTCTATTGTGATATTTTTTTCTAAAAATTCACCCACTGGGATATAATAAATCTACTTAGCCACTCTATTAAATTATATTGCTTCTGGAAGCTTCCTTTCACAAGGGACTGTTTGGACCATCTGTGACCAACAAGGACAAATGAGGCATTAGTGCTGGGCACATCATTCTGCCTGTGTCTCTCATATGAGTGCTTTTCAGTGCAGAGAAAGAAGTTGAGTGCAAGTATGTGTGATAGAGGAGAGCAGACTGTGAATAGGTTATCAGTCCTGCCCTCTCAGATGTGAAGAGATGTACTCTTTCTCTCGCTTACTGATTCTTTCTTTCCCACTCTTCTGCAGTGTTACACTGACCCTTTTTTTCCACTCTCCTGAGATAAAGGGCCCTGTAAAATAAGTACAAATTCTGATACAGATTTTTAATTAAGGTTTTCATTACATAAGGCTGTCCTTTAATTAAAAATAGTCTTATTCATTACAGATTATTTCAAAAATACAGATTAACTGTGTACTCAACAAAGCTAATATGTAAATTCCACCATATTCAGTATTTTTACTCATTTTGGGCAGTCAGTTGATTTGTAATAAATAACTGATTAGATTATAATACATTTCTTCAAATTAAAGAAAAAGGCCAAAACACACACAAATTCCCCCAAGACAATAAATTCACATTTCTTTTTAAGAAAGAAAACTTTATTAGTGATTTATAAACAAAACACATTACCACTGTATCCATTTAGGTAAAATAAAAAAAGTCTGAAAATAAATGAAATAAATGAAATTCACTACTTCACTGTCACAGTTGATGAGCGGGTGTACAAAAAAGGTTTTACAACAGATCTGGGCTAGTCCAGTTAGGACAGCACATTGCCACCATAGTTCACCACCATACATTGGGAAAGAATGACAGCATGAACGCTCACTAAACACAAGCATACACTACATATACGTTTTTTTACACTGGAATATTTTTTTTTCAGTCATTTTGTCTTTTTTTTAGAGTGAAAGGAAAGTGATAGCTCATCATAGGATCATACATATTTCAGTTACAATATTACAGTGTTAGTTAGATCGTCATGTCAAAGCCGGACACAGAGTGTGTTTTTTTTTTTGTTTTGTTTTTTTTGCTTTGCTTGTTCTCAAAAGCAAAAATCATAGTAAAAGAAAAAATAATAAACTTGCGTTGAAAGGTATCACACTATAGCATTTACAAAGATCTAAAGAGGTTTAGTGGATGC